ACACTCATCCACATCTATGGGAAAACAGAAACAGAGACAGGGCTCAGGTGAACCCTCCTGTGCGCCCCCCACTGTCCACTCCTGGGATTGGCCGTATGGAAATCAATTTTTAGGTGTGTGTGTGTGTGTGTGTGTGTGTGTGTGTGTGTGTGTGTGTGTCTACACAGTTACTTTCATAGCCTATAAACCATTTTCCATTTTGCTATTTTCATCTAAACTTGTCATAAACAGTTTCTCTTGTTTCCACCCAGCCTTTCTAATTAGCATTGTAAATAGTTGCAGAATATTCCATTGTGTCCTATATCATAATTTATTAATCCTTTTCCTCTATTGTTAGACATTTAGGTTTCTTCCATTTATTTTAGTATCATAAATAATGCATCAAAGAACATCTTCATCCATATATTATTTGGTTTCTTTAAATAAGTCCCTAAGAGTGAAATTCCTGGGTCAAAGGGTATAAATAACTTTTAAGATTCCTACTAGGTATTAGAGAATCACTTTTCAATTTATCATGCCAGGAATTAATGAGGGTACCTCTCCTCTCTAAGTCTCACCAACACTGAAGGTCATAAATTTAAAATAACATCTCAAGGCTGCTTTAATTTGCATTGCTTTAATTATGAGGGGAAGAGCAGTGTTTGTTTACAGCGTGAGTTTCCCCTCGGGTCAATTGTCTGTTCCCATCTTTTGGGGGCGTGGTGGAAGGGTCTGAAGATGGAGGCTCCAATGTCAAGGAACCTCAGGCGTTAGTTCCACGATTCTGATCCCTACCCCTCACCTCCCCCATCTGGGCTGTGGGACTGTGAGCTATTCCCACCAGGGCCTCAGCGCCTGTGGGCAAATTAGAAAACGTCACCACCCTCTCTGGGAAGATGCAGCCCGCTCCCACGCTAGTGGGGATTTCACGCTTGAGCGTAATGCAGTCTGCCCACCTGCCCCCAGTGGCACTGGTTTCCCCTTCCCTGCAACCGCTCCTTCTTCAGGCGCCCTCCCAGCCTCACCTTTGCAGTGTTTCCCATCTCCTGTGTAGCCAGACTTGCAGATGCACTTGTATGACCGTGGGGTGTTCTGGCAGATGGCATCGATGTGGCAGTTATCAGTCCCCTCCACACACTCGTCCATATCTGGCAGGGGGAGGGAGCACATGAGACCCTCTGTTAGTGCCTCCCAAGGGGTGTCTTGAAGGTGGGCTCCCCAAGGGCAACATCTCCTCTTCTCTAAAACAGAGGCAGCTACTGCTCCAGAAGCAGGTGCTCCCCCACACCCTTCTGGGATTTCAGACTGGGCAGACTCTGTAACTTCAGGAATTCAGAAAGAATCCCCACTCCCCTCAAACATACCTAATCCACAATGACAGCTAAAACTCCTTAATTTGAAACACTCCTCTGTGTAAGTATTTGTTCTCTGATTTAAAAACAAGCCAACAAACAACCCCTGGACTGGGTAGCACACTTAACTTGATTAGAAATATTCAACTTAGTGTCAATTAGTTTACCTTTCTTAGGAACAGACTTAGGTAGGAGGGAGAAGAGGAAAAGGCTGGATGGGGACAATGGCCTTTGGGAAGGTGACAAGGTCCAGGGCCATTGTAAGAAAGGGAGGAAGAAAGGGAGACTGGGCACCTGAGGAAAACCTTATCAGCTTCATGATTTTCTTGAGACCAAGCCTGCTCCCACTTGCCCACCATGGCGCCAAGAAGCTTTAGAGGAAAGATGTTCCATCCTGGGAGATTTTCCTAGGCCCCTGCGCTGCCAACAGTGGGGCACCAGGAGCTGGCAGGGGTTGGCCTCAGCATCCTGAAGCCTGACAAGTGCAGCCCTTGCAGCTCTCAACAGCTCACCCAGGCAGCCCATCCATCCCACCCCTAGATGCCTTCACTCTGACCCCAAGTGGTCCTCTCTCTCTGAGCACTTGCTTTAACATGAGCCCTACATACAGAGTATACTAAAGCCTGAGGCAAGTCAAGATCTACCAAAAAAAATTAAAATTAAGAGGATGGTTAAAAAAGTATGTAGAAGGAGAACCAATTGTGTCTTCAGGCAAAAAAAAAAAAAAAAAAAAAAAGTCACTTGTGTCTGAGGCAATAGTATGGTGCCCATAAAGCTAAACTGAAACAGGGCAAAATGTTTCATTCAATTGAAAACCGTTTACTGAGTGTGTTTGTGAAAGCCACTATACTGAGGATGGTTGATGCTCAAATGTGACTCCTGTCTAGCCAAAAGGAGAGACAAATAAGTAACAGGATGTAGTTAGAGCCATGAAGGCATCAGAGATAAGGGGAGGGGGCCTCACCCGGGCTGCACAGCAGACTCCCCTTACTCTCCCAGGAGATGCGTGAGCCCTGCTCCCGAGATTCTGGTCAGTTAGGCTGGGCCAGGGCCTGGCCACAGTATTTTTTAAAATCTCCTAAAGTGTTCTAACGTGCAGCCAGGGAAGAGTGGTATTTAAGGAGGAAGAGATTACTTCTAGCTGTGAATGGGAAACCCAAGATAGTATATAAGCAGCAACATGTAAGTGAGATGGGATTTGAAACCAATAGTCTGACTTCCAAGTGTGATGAGTTGACTATAGAATCACCTGGGTTTTATTAAAATGTAGATAGTCAGGTCTTATCACAGACCTATTGAATCATAATCCCTAAGGTGCTGTACATATTTTTTACTGAATAAATGAATGAGTAAACCATTCATCTCTCCAATCTACAGATACCCATGAATCCTAGCTTAAAACAGTTAACTGTCCCCTGCTTCCACGTTTCAAGGAGTATTTAGAGGCAGGACTGAAGCTTCCTGGAACTAAAGAGAGAACTGGAATTTGGAAGGGTATCCCCAAACACCCTGCCTCAAATCTTCTGGGCTGCTTCTGTTCAGCTCTGCGCTCCACCCTCCAACCCTCTTCTGCTCCTCTGCAGCTGATTCTAAGTGCTGGGGTCTTCTGTTCACACTCCCCGCCTCACTCAGGCTTTGCAGTCATAGTGATATGCCTGCTGGTCTACCCTGGGAAGTCATCCCAAAGTGAGAGAAGAGGGGGCATGGAAGACTAGTTCATCAGAGAGGACAAGTGGGACCTGCAGATGGTAAGGGACAGAGTGGAGAAGCAGTTATCCAACTGATGGAAAGAAAACGATATGGTAGGTGCCCAGTATCTAGAAGCTTAAGATAAGTGTTAAATCATTGGTTCCACTAGCCACATGTCAAGTGCTTAGTAGCCACATGTGGCTGGTGGCTACCAAATGGACAGTATAGATATGAAACATTTCCATCATTACACAAATTCTATTGGGCAGCACTGATCTATGAGTTCTGAATAAGGGATACCCCTGTCCCTGGGTGGACTGAAAAAACTCCCTGAGGAGTGGAATTCAAGCTTAGTTTTGGAAGTTGGATTAGAGTTGGACAGTCAGAGGAGCGAAGAGGAAATTTCAAGTGCAGTGAAACACGTGAAGAAAGACAAGGCTCTCGGAGGTCCAGGTCCTTGCTCTCTGTTCCCACATTTCATGTATGCCCTCTAGAAGGGGAAAATATATTTTTTAATGACTAATTCCAATCTTTGAACGGCTCAAGGCTTAGTGTCATTTGTTATTGTTCAGTCCCTGGAAGAGGAGGGACTAGCTGATCACCCCTTCCCTGTGGTAACCTTGTGAGTCTCAGAGGCATGCATGGAGTCTCTCACAGCTTTGTCTTTCTGGCATCGGACAACCCTGGTGACTAACATTCACCCTTTTAATCCTGCTTTGGGCCCTCTCCTCATTCTTGTCTCTCTCCATCCCTTCCCCAGCAGGGCGACTTGGAGGCTTACCTGGAAGCCCCTCCTCTGGGGCCATCTCAGAGGCATGCGCCTGTCTCTGAATCAGCTGGTGCTTCATTAGGGCCTGCAGCAGGCCACCTGAGCTCCCACTTCTTCCCTTTGCCTTTCCTGCTCCTACCCCACACCCAGGTCTACTAGTGCTCTCCAGTGCTAGAGGTGACCTTATGCTGACTGAAACAAGCCCAAGTTTCCTGGCAGAGCCTTAAGACCCCTCCAGCAGCCTGGCTTTTCCTGCCATCTTACCCCTCTCCCTCAGTCTCCCTGCTCACATTGCTTAGCCCTCTCCAGAAGTCTCTGCTCTGGAAAACTTAATCTCTTCCTTATTCCCTCTGCCACACTTAACCATTCTCCCACTCTTTCTGAGCATTTGCACACCTCCCATTCCTCACATTTGAGATGCACTCTTTTCTCTTCCAGCTATATTGTGCCCAGCTTTCCAAATCTGGCTCCAAATTGTCTTCCCGAAAGCTCCTCCTGGTGAGCCCTGTTCCTGGTGAGTTCCCGGTCCTAGGGGACTGTCTGCCTTAGCTCATTTGCAGCTATTGCTGAGTTTCTCTGTTAATACTTTAAAGCCATCTCATGTAGTGTGTTCATCTTTCCTCATTTGGCAGGGCACTCACTGAGGAGGGACCCTTCAACTGTGTGTATGGAATCTTTTGAAGCAGAACTGCCTAAAGCAGTGCTGTGAAGTAGGGCCCCAGATTATATTCAGCATCTCCTCCTTTCACCACTTCATTCTTCCAGAACTCCCTTCCACCACACCTGTCCCCCCTTCCCCCCAGCCCCCTAGAATCGTACTGGCAGGGACTCTTTCAGCACTCATGGGTACAGTGTCATCTTAGCTCATTCTCTCAGGGCACAGGTGGTTACTAGCTAGCCCCACAAACCAGTGGATACTGTTGGGCATAGAGTGGTTTTAGACCAGTGGTTCTCAACCCTGGCTGCACACTGGAATTCCGTGAGGAACTTTATTTTTTATTTATTTATTTTTGTTGTTGTAGTTTAAGTGAAAGTTTACAATTGAAGTTAGTCTCGCATACAAAAATTTATACATACATTGTTATGTGACCCTAACTGGTCTCCCTATACTGTGACAGCACCCTCCTCCTTTCTACCCCTGATTTCCCGTGTCCATTCAACCAGCTCCTGACCCTCTCTGCCTTCTCAGCTCACCTCTGGACAGAAGCTGTCCATTTGGTCTCATGTATTTACTTGAGCTAAGAAGCACAATCTTCATGAGTATCATTTTATGTCCCTCCGTGGGGAACTTTAACAAAAAACTGAATGTACAGGTACCCCCTAAACCAGCTGCATCAGGATGTGTGGGTGAGGCTGGAGCTGCTGTCTATCTCCTTCCTCAACTCAGTAAATGTGAATGAACTATTGGCCCAAGCTGGTAGAGAACCAGGGACAGCAATCTGACAGAGTGGTTAAGAGAAGGAGTTCTAGAGTGACACTGTGTCATTTCAAATACAGTTCTACCCATGGCCGTGTGGTCCTGGGCCAGCCTCTCAACTTACCTGTCCCTCCTCTGTAAATGGGAATAATAAGAGCACCTCCCCATGGGGCTATCATGAGCATCAGATGAGTTAATCCTCATCAAGCACTTAGTACTGAGGTGCAGGCATACAGAAAGTGCTCAGTAAAGGTGAACTATTGTTATTCCTCCTTCCAACTTTCTCCCCAGTATCCTTTCTGAGCCCCTCCCCACCACACACTCTTCTTATAGTGTGGGCTGAGTATAGGAAAATGCAGCAGCAGGAGCACTTGATAGTGAGGAGAATTTCTGGAAGACACATCCCTGAAGGTGCCTGCTCTGCTTTCTACTCCATCTTGCTGGGAACTGCCTAAGGAGGGGGTGAAGTGGGTGAGACCCCAGTTGGGAATCAAAAAGTTACCCTCCACAATCCTTTGTAAAGGCAACGGAGGTCTCCCACACCAGGCACGGGGCTGGGGTAGAGGCTGAAGTGGGGGAGAGTGACGGCTGCAGAGGTACCAGAGAAACTGAGACCTCCCTGCCTCACCCTCTCCTGGCACTAAGGCACAGGTTCTGTAACTGCAACAGCTTCTCCCAGCACCATCAGACAGTTCTTCTGGATTTGCTTCAGTGCTTAGCAGAGAGCTCCACAAACTCTGCTAAACGTAAGGAGGAAGAGTGGGATGGGGTGGGGGCCGTGGGGGCCAGAGAGAAGACCAGAAAGGTTAGATTACTATAACAGACCAGTTGCCATCGAGGCGATTCTGACTCATGGCAACCCCATGTGTGTCAGAGTAGAATTGTGCTCCATAGGGTTTTCAATGGCTGATTTTTCAAAAG